CAGCCGTAGTCAGGAATATTTTACAACACCATTCTTTTGTGTGTATGTATGTTAGAAACTATTGCATTATCAATTATACTACTAGGTACTGATTAAATACAACCGTGTTTGTTTACACATCATGCATCATCAGCATGTAAAAGAAAGAGAAGAGAAAATTTGAGCATTAATTAAAGTGTGGGAGAGCCATGCTTTGGCACGAATGGGTCGGCTCGACCGGAGTGATACAACGGCCTCACAGAAAACCAGCGTGAAACAACCACGGCGTTGTGTTTCGCCGTGTGAGTGAGGTTACCGGAGGCCCAATCCTTCCCCTCCTCTAATCCCTCCTCAGTTCCTAAATCTCCAAATCCCTAATCCCTAAAAGGTCGGCAACGCACTCGTAACTCCTCCGTTGCGGGTGTCTATGGGCGGCGCTGATTGCTTACCATCAGGTAATCCGTCAGAAATATTATACGCTTTCTCAAGGCGAATTGGCGATTTCAAGCTTATAATTAGAAATTATAAGTTCAAGTTTTCCTTAAGTATGTCAGTGGTGGCTACATAATCATAGAAAGTATTATAACTTGCAAAAAGTTACATTGGTAATAGCCAGGTTTCCTCATGCATGAAAAAACGCCTTTATCTCAGGGCCACCGAAATGTTGTTTGTTTATATTAGGTATTAATTATTTACTATAAATTATTCGTAATTTATTTGTAACTTTGCTTTAATATATGTCAATTACCATAGCTTGTGTTCAACTTTCAAAACTATGAGAAAGAGAAAAAGTGTGCCAATAAAGAGCACAACCGAGTGTCAATAGTTTGCCCTGCCCTTTTATGAACATCGAACGGAGTGGCGTTCCACCCTCTAAGGAAACTAGCGTGAAATTTGCGTTGTATTTCGAAGTATGAATGAGAATATCAGAAGTTCAATAAGTCCGACCCCATCCCTAATCTTTAGATTCCCTAAAAGATCAGCAACGCACTTGTATAATTCCTCGTATATTGCGGCGACATCGCTTGCCTGCCGTCATATTAGTTTTTTATCGATTAAAATATTTACTTCTTCTTAATTAATTCCTAGTTGCTCATCATCTGCATCTGCTTGCTAATCGTAGAGATACTGGCAAATCCATTATTTCATATAAACGGTATTTCTTCTTTTTATGTATGTTAGAACACCAGAACTTATTGGACTGTCGCAAGTTGTTATCACAACGCTATGTATATACTATGAAAGTTAAATCTAAGATGATAGTAATAAAATATCTATCTACAGAACATTTGCAGCAAGATTTCTTGTCATAATGAAACACAATGCTATTTATTTCGAAAAGGCGTGCTAACGTTTTGTCATCTGTTCAACTTTGCTTTTAATTAGCTCTCCTTTTACATTCTATGGAATTACTATTGATAACAATAGTAATAACAAAAAAGGGCATAAGGTAAAATTACCAATTGTTTAATAGAAAACAGAACTAACTCATAAAAGAGGGTATTTCTAAATTGAACCTTGTTGTTGCAACCTATTTTTTAAGATTTGAACACCCTTTTTTGAGTTAAGACACTTTTCTCGATGCTCAATGCATACGAATTATTCGCAGATGCTAAATTGGGAAACCTGGCAAATACCAATGTGACTTTTTATGGGTTATATGCGGTTTTTAAATAAAACACTAAAGGGAATTTTTATTCAAGCGATCTGGATCTACTAACTGCCGGCGGCTTCGCCCACGTGGTATGTTGATTAAAAGTAGCCTATACCTGTGCCAAATTTCATCAAGATCCGTCCAGCCGTTTCGACGTAATTGAGTAACAAACATCCAAACATCGTAACTTTCACATTTATAATATTAGTTAGATAAGTTTGATTTTGCCAATTTGCTTTGAGCAAGGATTGGATTAGGATGGACTAATGCACCTACTATCTCCGTGTCAGAAGAGGCTTGTTCAGTAGAGGGTATTTATAAGCTGATGATATGATATGACTATTAAAATAATCATTATAGCGCCTATCCTAAATAGTGCTAGAAACACTATCCTACTAATATTATAAAATATGTGAAAACTTGTGACAATGTATGCATGTACGTTTGGTGTTCTTTCACGCATACCCTCATATTAATAGCATACCCTCAGAAATAAAAAGTAATATTACACCTAAAAATATTAAATGTAAACTTAAGAAATATTACTTATGTATTATTTAAGAATGTTTTCTCCTACTGATTGACACAAAGATTGTATAAATTAATTTCGATAATAACGTACACATACTTAATTATAAAACTGTAACAATTTTTTTTTTCAATTTGAGATGATTCATGATAGCACAAGTTTAAACCTTAGTGATTTTTTGGTTGCTATTTAACATAAATAATCATGTAAAAATAAATAACATATTTGTAAAAATGATAAATAAATAAAAAAAAAAGCAAAAACGGCTGAACCGTATTGATTGAAATTTGGTATGTTTATACCTTCAACATACCACGCAGGTGAAGCTAGTTATGTATAAGACATAGAGGAGGTTTTATCACACCACCACAGACGTGGCCCTATAGGGCTGATGTTCAGCCGGGGTTGCGGGGTAAGCGCAATAAGCCACCACGACCTCGGCTCAGAGCAGGAGAAGGAACAGGGGGGTTTTTAGTCAGTAAGAGTCTGACACTCCTTCCCGCCCGGCCCTGGGCGGGAGAAGTTATTTGATGACTTTCCCCTCACAAAAAAAGGAGGTTTTATCACAATTTATCGGACGATGGTGCAACGAATCGTACTCTGGCGGAATGTCAAACAGATAGTTCTGCGTGCGCATTATGGTAGAGAGCGAGCGCTGTGACTGTCATAATTTATTCGGTCTGATTATAAAATCCTACGCCCTGCGATGGACAATGAAGACGATGATCGGGATGTTGATGTTTGTACCAACCTACCGGTGCCTTCATATATATGTATGAGGAAAAAATAAAACAAAAATGTTGTTCTATTTTTTTATTTTAAATGATATATGAATATAAGTGGCAAGTTGCGGAACTCTACTGACTGAATATGATTACATTATCATGCATTCTGCGTCCAAACTGCACAGACAAACATTAATTATATGTCTATTTATTAGTTGGATACATCCATTGAAACGGCTTCGTGCTTGGCTAATATAGGCGGGGAACTCGGGACAGTAACTTAAAAAATACAAATTTATACATTCTCGGTACAAATAGACAACTGTTGTGAAACATTGATATGATATCCATTTTGATTTGTATACGCAGAGCTTATATATTAAATTGCAAAGCAATCATTATAATTAGGTATTAAAACTGCTTGCCATTTTGACAAGCGACAAACAAGACGCTGACTAAAGCATGGCAACATTTGAAAAGATATTTTTCACATACTTTTTTAATCATTTGCCGTTTTAAAGGGAGAAATATCAATCGTACTATTACTTCTCCCACTCTAAAGGGACTCTCAAACCCTTAGAGCCCTACCCTTTCGTCCGTCACTTGTTTTTACAACGAAAAATTGTTGTTGTTTCGAAGTTCTTGAAGAAGACACTGAATGCACAATGCTTTCAATCAACATCTTGTATCTAAACATCATAATTATCTCGTATTAATTAATATAACGTTATATAGACATTACTTTAGGTTTACAATAAACCGTTATATCAAGTCTCATCCATTTATACAATAGATATTGTTCAAAACAACGTAAAATACAAATTAATTTTGTCCAACGTAAAATCGTCAACTAACATCTACCACAACGATTAGTTAAACATCCAAGTTCTTGTCACACAAGATTTTGATTGTTACAATAAAATCACAGGTAAGTACGTTATCACTAAATACATATTATTAACTGCTAATATTCTCTTTAAGAGAACGAAAGTTTTAGCCCTTCTGAGAGCTTGAAATAATTCTAGTACACATTTAAATGAGATCCAGTATACAATACGATACAAAAATCATATAAAGAAAGTAAATTATATATTATATTGATATAGAATTACAAAGCAACGTAAAGTTTACGACATCAATAAAGTCTTAGGCGGTAAATTTATACGTAGGTTTACATAAACTCGATTATTTTTGTATTTCAATATTTCCGTCTTTGTCCATCAATATTCGCTAGCGCGAAGCTTTGTTCTCATCAAGATTTTACTTTACTTCCTCAGGTCTCGTAGTTATTCACGTATTGTAGTAATATAACTATTTTTATAAGTAGCTTTAACATTTATAAGATTTTATATATAGGGGTATATTATCGAAAATTCTTAAAGCTCCCCCTATCTTAATTTGTCATAGTTTTTATGTACAACAATAGTCCTTACGAAGCAGGACCAGCGTCATTCGTCTAGCCACGTTTCATATTTACACAGAAACCATTTGTCGAACCAGTAAAATGAATAAGCCTTCAGAAAAACCAATCGAGTCCGTTTTCTCCACAAAAATGTGGTTAAGCCATCCGTATTTATACAAGAGTACAATCAGTTGCAAAAGTTCTACAATCCATTCAATAAATAAGAACAGCGAGTTCAACTACAATATCGAATTCTATCACTTTTGCAACCAACTGTACAAAACAGCAATAGTTTTATAATTAAGTATATTATGTATGTATAAATTATATGAAACATTAAAACATTTAACGTTTTTATATATTTTTTACAATATAGTTTCTTATTTAGGTATACTGCTTGTACTTTGCTTAAGAACCCGTACTTATCATTATGGTCAAATGTATTGAAAATCAGTGTGTGATTACTTTGTAACATTTACGAGCCGAAAGTCAAATGTAGGGCAGTGAAAAGTCAAGAGTAACATTGTGTCCTTTTTTTGTATCATCGTTAAATTTCTACTCATACACAGACAGCGCTACAGCAATTTCTGCCTGAATACTAAATACGTCGGTAACATTTGGTTATTCGCCAAAAATAACCTTTAGAATATTCTAAACACATACATATAAATGTTTTTGAACATGAACAAGGCTTAACATTTATTCATCTGCTAAGTCAATACTATTTACAACCACAAAATTGTATAGAATGACAATATTTGGCACTATACAATTTGCTAAATTAAAAATTAAACAAATTGGGCTACAATTTGCAATGGATAATTTTGTCTTTTTCCCAGGAGACTTTGGGGCATGATTCGTTAAAGAAAAATTTATAATACGTAGGTAGTTACTAAAAAATATTATATTTCGGAAGCACTAGATTTATGACGCCACGTTTAAATTCTATAACGGTTTGGTATTCGAATTTTAAATTATAAAGTGAAATGCGCATTAGTAATCATTACCTACAGTTGACTAGTTTGTACACTGTATTTTTTTTAAATTGATGTTATGTGACAAATGAACAACAAACATCGAGACAGCTTCAGAATACTTATTACAATAATCATCATATTTATAAAACATGAAACAGTCTAAAAGTGACAACCTTATACGACTTAGGGCTGTCGCGTGCGCTTTATATTCAAGCGGGAAGGTAATTGTGAGCCTTATTGCTACTACACATATGGTTTAGTTTGGATTTTTGTTGTTGGAATGTGTTTTCTGTTTGTTTATGAGTGCGTTGATGAGTTTTATCCTGGCCTTGATTGACTTGTACTTGCAGTATTCATCCTCGTGTCCTTTCTTGTCGTCTCTCTGCACCTTCCTGCTGTTCTGGAGTTCGAAGCTCACTTCGTAGTCTTTGATACTGCGGCGTAAGATCTAAAATGGTAAATGTGTATGCTAAATCGAAGTTAGAACTTTTAGGGGTTTAATGTAAAATAAGAGAAATCAATGATGAAAATAAAAGTCCTGTTGTGTCTTAGAAAGAGTAGAGGTTTTATTAGCTCACGTGAATAAGCCGTTATTATCAATAAAATACTAGATTCTGTTAGATAAGTGAATTCATGAATTTATGTAATCGATCATGTTGATATGACGACAGACTTTTTTTATAGGTACTCGAATTATGTACACCTTATTTAGGTACGTACTTTACTATGTTTGAAATTTATTTTTTTCCCTTAAAACTCATCGTGTGAGTGAGGTTATGGTTACCCAATCCTCACCTATTCCAATTTTTCACCATCGCCAAAGCTGGCAACACGCGTTTAGCTCTGGTATTTCTAGTGTTCATTAGCATTACCCATAAAAAATACTCACAGATTTCTGCATCTTAGCTTCAGTGAGAGCTTTATGGAGCTCCTCAACGCCGAGACAGTGGAGGCCCTCATTGGAAGGCGTGGCTTCCTCACTGGTGGCAGACTGAGCTGATGATGTGGATGAAGGGACCTCCTCCCCTGCGATAGCACTATCACGATTTGGTGGTGACTGCAGTGGAGTTTCTGCTGTTTCCTGGAAAATTATAGGATAAAGAAATTTAAATTATGACGTACATTTGCATTATAAGGTTTATAAAATGTTTTCAAATCAGCCTTTGGCATTATTTTGAATTTATTGGCGATTTTATTGTCTTTACTTTTTCGTAAGTTTTCTAGATAGAATAGAAGATAGAACTCAGCAGAGCGTTTGGCATTTAAAAAAACATAGCTGTTTTGCTATATAATTCTGAGTATTACTACTTTATTCTGAGTACAATTGCAAATCCTTTATTTAACCTTTACCTGCGAAGAGTCTGAGGGCTTCTCCTGAGAGTCACTGGAACTGTCGACGCTGGAGTTGAACAGCATGGTCTCATGCTCGTGAATAGTTGCCAGTTCACCGTTAATGCAGCCTATGATCTGAATGAAGTAATTAAAATTACAGATACAGAATCAGAATGTACTAGCAGCTTACCATACATATAAAGCAAATATAAAATTAGTATTCTTGTTTTTATTCTCACTAACATTTGAGTGTCAAAGTCTTTAAGAAGTCCTTATTGTATTTTATTGACTGCATGATCAAGTTAATTAGTTCCATATCGTGTAGTTTTGTCAGTAATTTATTAACTGGGCACAAGATATTACCAGTCAGCAAGTCATAGAATCACTTACTTACATTTTACTTTAGTATATGTCGATAAAAGATAGAAGCGACTATAAATCTTACAGCATCAGGCCTAGAGGAGGCGAGCACTCTTTTGACTGTTCTGTAGCGCTCGTAGAGGTGTCGGGCCGCGCCGCGCTCGGCGGAGTGCGCAGGGGGCCGACCTCGGGCCGCCTCCAGTCGCAGCAGCACTCGCTGTACACACAGCTTCTCAGCCGCCAGCTGCGCCGCTGTCCAGCTCCCCTCGCTCACCGAAGACCGGCCTGCCGCCTGGCGACAGCCCTCTAACCACTGGAGAAAGGCCCACAATAAATCGGAGCAAACACCCACCTGACTATCCCAATCCAAAATCATCCAGATACGCAAGTAATTTGGAAAAGTCGATTATTAAATGCCAATCATAATGATGATGACTACACTACAAAATTTTCAAAATATTAAATTTGAAAAGCAAATCTTAGCAGTAGTGGAAAATAAAAATGATCGATATACTCTACCCTGAATCGCTAGATGAATATCAGTGACAAGCAAAGAATGGATTTAAGAAATTTACCTCTTCGATATCTTTTACGATATCAGCCATAGGTTTATCGCTCTTGAGCGACTCTTCAAGCTTGTCATCTCTTTCTTTCTGCAGTTTAGCTGCTTGTACCTTCAGGGCATACTCCACGGGGTCAGTCTTGATGAGTCGTTTCTCAGCCTGAAGTCTGCGCAACGTCTCATTCATACGCGTCAGTGCCACATCAGTTATCCTGTCACTTTGGGTCAAGGGATGGCCATTCTTGGATTCAAAATCATTTTCATACTTGGTGATGTTCTTCTTGAGTACAGAGATCTGGAAATTTTATAGATAGTCTTTACTATGAAACTTCTTTTATGGAGATTTGTCGAATTTTGTTCTTATTTGATGATTTACATATAAATTAATTTTCAGTAGAATATAAAATGTACCTTCTTGTTGATCTTTTCAAGCTGTCGGTCAGGGACAGGCTGTTCACGACGTGCGACGTTGAGTGGGGCTGCGCTCCTCTCATCGCTGCGGGCTCGCTCAGCCTCCGCGCATAGAGCTGCGCCCTCCTCAACGGCAGTCTCTGTGTGACCTGCCACTCGATGCAGTGCTCCAGCGTCCAGAGTCTCCGGTTCCTCGCATACTGCAAAAATCTTCTACCTGAACCCACTGCTTGTTCGCGTACAATGACTGTTGACATATAAGTTATCGAGGCTATAGAAGCACGAGTTACTTCTTCGACCTTTATTACAACCAATTTTACCTGTTCCAATGTTGATAATCCTGACGCCATAAATATTCAACTTACCAGGTATATGGTTATGACAACTGTGGTGTATAATAATTGAAGCCCCCATGCTGAGTGTTTTTTGGGTGCTATTTCCTACTATCTATTCGATACTTTTTTTTTTGTGAGGGGAAACCATCAAATGACTTCTCCCGCCCAGGGCCGGGCGGGAGGGAGTGTCAGACTCTTACTGACTAAAAACCCCCCTGTTCCTTCTCCTGCTCTAGGCCGAGGTGCCTCATTGAGCTTAAACCGCAACCCCGGCGGGTCTATTCGATACTTACGATGTGGTTTTTGCACAATAACATAATCGAAGTGAGGCGGTGTGCTACATCGGATCTCTTCAGATGTAGTGAAGCACTCGTTCTCTTTTGGATGTTTGGAGCCCCTGGTAGGTGGACGACGTCGTTTTCCACCGAACTGTGGTCGACGGGCGCGGGACAGCCGCTCAGCACGACGTTCCGACTGAAAGGTAATTAGGGTTACCCATAGAAGATCATCAAGATACTGAGATGGTAAAGTTATTTTTTATTTGTTTGTGGAACAATCGTCATCGACATCAAATTGACACAGGTACTTGAAAGACTTCTTAAAAGAATGTTAAGATAAATACTGAGTCCATAGTTTCCTTACCTCAATTCGGTTATGGTCGTGGAGCGGCGGCGGCGGCGGGGGCGGGGGCGTGCGCTCCTCGCTGTGCGGGCGGCGCTCCTTGCGCTCGTGCGCGCACCCCGAGTCGCGGCGCTCGCGTCTCTTCCTGGCCTCTCGCTCGCACTCGGGCGCCGCCATGTCTTCAGTCCTCTCGCGCTCTCGTTCCGAGCACTGCGCACGCCAGCCGAGCCCAGATATTACTACCCGATGCTCGCTCGAGCGCTCACTTTCCTGTCCGTACCCCTAACGTATATGGATGAGTTAATGTCAGTGTAATGTGCGGAAATATGTTGATTCTTAGTGTAAAGAAACAAGATTGATTCTGGAGTGGTGGGTTAAGCTGATGTTTGCGATTCATATCGAACAGTGAGGAGAATGATTTGTGTTGATCATGTATGATACAGAAAATTGTATACATATATACGTAGGTACATATTAAGTAAGGATATCTTTGCTTAAAGCTATGTATATCTAATACTATCAAGGGACACGGGTTATTGAAAGCGTTGGTCGTCTACTACTCGGCCGTCTCCTACACAATGTACACGGGTTAGTTGGGCGGTTGGGCAAGCAACTCAAATACTTGTAGGCAACTACTTAGTTGTTAGTCAACTATCCGATAACATTGGCATATAATATACATATTAGTATTCCCAGAGTACCCATGTAATTACGTATATATTGCAAAGCGTATATGTATAGGTATAAGCTAAAATTTTATATTTATAAAACGAGAAACTATTATATTGTTAAAATCACTAAATGAATGTGAAGCCCCAGTATCTAATTTTTCAGAAATACCTGTAGAATTTCCAATTGTACCATTTTCGCTAACTCGGAAAATAATTCCCAATTTCCAAAAGTTTTCAGCCGTTAATGGGACGATTCTGAAATTAAACCATGTTTTGCACTAACGCAACTGAACGCATCTAAAAAAAAAAGCTTCATCGTCTATGGCTTAAACAAAAACCTTCATAGATGCGACCTAACGAACATCCCTTGTCTTAACTTTTTAATATTTAATTAAAATAATTTATATTAATTAGGTAATATTGACATACTCACAATGCAGTATCTGGCAGCACCAACTATGGAATCCAAGATTCTGGATATGTTTTCTCTGGTACGGCTGGCCAGGGTCGCACTGAGGCCCGCTTTAGGGCAATACCCCAACCAATGATCCACAACCAAACACTAAACCACCGGGCTATTGCTTATCCTTTGATGTAAAACAAATTGAAAGAAACAAAACGAAACGGCAGAGCGGAAACGCGCGCCGTTTTGACGGGAAACTTGACACTTGACTATAGACACGTTAGTCTGTGGCGAACTTCGTAAACTTATTTGATGATGTCACTTCTCTGCTCAGACATGTCCCGATCGCGACACATATTGGCACGGCACACAGAGTCAATATGAATGTTGGCTTTTAACAATTTACGGCTGCTTCAAGAAATGCGTTGACACCAGTCTGTAATTTAGCATTGATGGTCCGAATGTATTTGTGAGAGCTGTTTAGCCCTAAAACACTGTTAGTGCGACGTATTCATATCAGTAACGTCCAAAGAGAATGTCGAGATTGTGGTTGGCTCACTCTACCGGAGGAGAGTGAATCGTCAATTGTCTTCTATCATTTTGAAGTTCATATTCAAACACTTCACAAAATTATTGAATTGAGTTGGCAGGCTCGTTGACGGCAGTTTGAATCTGTAACAGAAAAGAGCAAATTTTTAATGAGATGGCTGCGAGCCAAGAATTGAATACCACAGGGTTATGAGTATTTTAATGGTTTGCACAAATGGGCCGTCTCGACCGACACGATACCGCGGCCTTACAGAACAACGGCGTGAAATAATGCTTGCGTTGTGTTTCGCTGTGCAAATGATGTTATTTGAGGCTAAATTCATTATCGTCCTTCCACAATAAAATTTATAGGTCCCCGAATTCTCAAATTCCTAACTCCCAATACGAACTTCTAGTTCTTTGTAGATTGCTGACCATCAACTGATCAGCCTGCTCATTTACTAACCTATACCATTAAAAAAACAAGTAGCAGGAATCTGTTTATACGTTACGTTCAACGCTCGTTATGTGGTAAATTTGTAAACAAGCCAAAAGCCCTTAGATACGCGCCTACACTTTAATAAATATTTAATGAACGCAGTAATTCTACTACGCGAAGCCTAAATTTTTAAGCCTGTGAAATTACCTTGGCGATTGACATTTAGGTGTTATTTGTAGTTTTACATAGCGAAGGCTAAAAAGTAATTCATTCCACTTCAGTATAAATTAAGTATGTGTAACGTTACAAATAGTAATGAAATAATATGTATTTGTCATTATGTTTTATAAATTATTTTTTATTGAACTATCCAGTTATTAGCACTTCAAATCTACCTCAATTACATTCTATCATGATATTGATGATATGATACTTTTTAACATCTACCATCTCCAGGTTTTCTATATGCACAAAAATCTTGATATTTTCTTCATTATATTAGAAAATTCGTCAATTTGTGCTTAATTTTATTACTAACCAGCCTAAAGAGGTACAAAAAGATAAATTCAGATCACACACGTCACCAATAAAGAACAAGTTTAAGAAATAAATAGATGAAAATAACATTCATAATAAATAAATATAAAGATACACACACACACACATATTGTCTTGGTAGTAATTAGCGTATCACAACCACACACATCAACCGTTAAAAGCTTTAGGTAACTAATACAGGCCGTAATGAGAATCGTGACGTCACAGTGACACAGGATAGATAAATGTGTCCCGGTACTGTATGTAAACCGTCACTTTCCCAGTAATTGACTTACAAATAATGTTTGCTGTGGGGAGTGGTGAATATATTATTACAGTCTGATAGACTGTTTAACTGAGGTAGGAGATCTCGCATCAATTACTGTTGTGGGAGTTTAAACCGTTTGTGATGGTAATTAGGTTTTATTTTAAAAGTAATTTCGGTTAAGCGAGACTTTTTAAAATAAAATAAAATAAAATATAGGTATTTTTTATACCTACATTTATTTAAAAACAATTCAGCTTTAAGATTACTAGGGACCACTGGAAACTTGGCATTAGAAATTCTACTTATACATTTGGAATTGCAAATCAACAATTAACAAGCGTGGCGAAAAAGCCTTCTTCGTGTTAGAAGATGCCTTTACTTAGCAAAGGACGCCTATCGGCTGGTGATAATGTCGTAAGATTTGACAAACTTCTTAATTAATACTTTAAAATGAACTAAGAGTTAAACATTATTGTTAAAGTATTTTACTAAATAGTTTCTAAAGCACAAAATAAAAAAAAACTGCTCCACTATCAATTACTTTTTCAAACTGAAACATCAAAACAAACACAAAACAATCAGTTACATCGCCAGCTAAATTGGCAATCGAGGAATTGGTTCCAAAATTAATTATTACGAGTCTAGCCGTCATAGGCGATGTTATTCCAGTTCTGACTGTAGTTCTCTTATTGATTATTCTGGTAGCCAATCATGTTACCGAGTGTAGTATCGCCCACGAGGTAAATCTACTGCCTCAAATTAAATACGACAATACCACTTGACAACGGAAACTGTGAAGTCAGTCGAAGAAATGAAGTAATACCGCCATTGTGTTAAGTGTCTTGATGACTCGTTAAAACAGCGATAAAATTCTATTGTTAATTTTTTTTTTTTGGGAACGATGACTGAAATGTTTTTTGCGATTATTTTTCTGACATTCATATCTTAAGTTACAAATTGACTGTTGACGCTATGACTGGGCAAGCTGCTCCCGTGCAACGTGTAATGGTTTCGATTCTCACATGGAAAAACATTAGAGTGATTCAGAAAAAAAAAAATCGTATTCTTTTACGTGTGAGGCAATGCTAAGTATTATTTTTTGTACCTTGTTTACAAGCATACAATTTCACATACACATCTCGCCCAGACCCGGAGCAACAACTTGTGAATCACAAACACAGCAAAAAGCAACCTTGCAGAATTCGAACTCGTGACAGGTTTTACGGCAGCTGATTTACCAGCCATCACACCGTGCAGTGTATTTATATAATGATAAAAACAAATGTATCGTTTTACTTAATATTTCCAGGTAATATTTATTTTATTTCTCGAAGAATAAAAAGTTAGACAAAACATCTGCAACCCACACACATTAAGACAGAGTATCGGATTGTTGTTGACAAACAGTTAATTAAAGATATTAAATTACCTGCTGAAGATGAAAAAGAAAGAAAATATAATAATTGCGTGTTTTGATTCCCGTTAGGGAAGGTTAATGTGCAGGTAAGCATCTGCAAGCGGTCTTCGTCTACTTAAAAGTCTTTTTAAATATATGTAAGGTTTAATAAGGAGGCTGAATTAATTTTAATAAGTCCTGGGACTATTTCATCATCATCATCATCATATCAGCCACAGGACGTCCACTGCTGAACATAGGCCTCCCCCATTGACTTCCAGATAGGCCGGTTGGAAGCGACCTGCATCCAGCGGCTTCCTGCGACCTTAATCAGGTCGTCTGTCCACCTTGCGGGTGGACGTCCTACGCTGCGCTTGCCGGTACGTGGCCTCCACTCGAGAACCTTTCTGCCCCAGCGGCCGTCGGTTCTACGCGCTATGTGCCCTGCCCATTGCCACTTCAACTTACTAATCCGCTGGGCTATGTCGGAAACCTTTGTTCGTTTGCGGACATCCTCGTTTTTTATACGGTCTCGCAAAGAAACTCCGAGCATAGCCCTCTCCATAGCGCGCTGAGCGACCTTGAGCTTCTTTATAAGGCCCACAGTAAGAGACCACGTTTCAGTTCCATAGGTCATCGCTGGTAACACACATTGATTATAGACTTTCGTCTTAAGGCACTGGGGTAAGTTGGACGAGAAGATGTTGCGTAGTTTCCCGAACGCTGCCCATCCAAGTTGGATTCGACGATTGACCTCCTTCTCGAAATTGGACCTACCTAGCTGGATCACTTGTCCCAGGTATACATATTCGTCAACAATTTCGAGGTTAGAACTCCCAACTGATATCGGATAGGGCGTGACATGGGCGTTTGCCATGACTTTCGTCTTGTCCATGTTCATTCGGAGCCCTACCTGTTGAGAAACTCTACAGAGGTCATCGAGCATTGTGCTCAGATCCTCCAGCGATTCTGCCAAGACTACAATGTCGTCGGCAAACCGGAGGTGAGTGATGTACTCGCCGTTGATGTTGATGCCAGATCCTTTCCATTCCAAGAGCTTGAAAGCGTCTTCCAATGCAGCGGTAAACAGTTTCGGAGATATGACGTCTCCTTGCCTTACACCTCGCTGCAGAGGAATATTCTTAGTGCTCTGGTTTTGTACTTGGACCGACATAGTGGCGTTTGTGTATAAGCACTTCAAAACCTCGATGTACCGAAAGTCAATATGGCACCGCTGGAGAGATCTTAACACAGCCCAAGTCTCGATCGAATCAAAAGCCTTCTCATAGTCCACAAACGCCAAGCATAGTGGCAAGTTATACTCCTCGGTCTTCTGTATAACTTGCCGCAGCGTATGGATGTGGTCTATGGTACTATAGCCTTTCCGGAAACCGGCTTGTTCGGGAGGCTGGAAGTCATCGAACCTACGTGTGAGACGATTTGTGATGACCCTCGAGATTAACTTGTAGACATGGCTCAGAAGTGAGATGGGTCTATAATTTTTCAGTAGAGTGTTATCTCCCTTCTTGAAGAATAGTACCACCACACTTCTGCTCCATGCCGCCGGCGTTGCTCCTTCGAATATGACGGAGTTGAAGAGCTTCTGAAGGACTCTCAGTACCGGCGTTCCGCCCGCTTTCAGAAGCTCTGATGTGATTCCGTCCTCGCCCGGCGCCTTGTTGTTCTTGAGCTGCTTGAGGGCCATCCTAATCTCGTATAGGCTGATGTCCGGGATATCCTCGGTATAGTGTCGGGTGAGTTTAGCTCTTGGATCGGCGACTGAGCTAACAGGTCTAGTGACCGATGTGTATAGCTGTCCATAAAACCTCTCGATCTCACCCAAAACTTCGGCCTTCGTCGACGCCACACTGCCATCCTCCGCCTTCAGCTTCGTCAGCTGTGTTTGCCCAATAGACATGTCCCTAGCGAACACTTTGGAGCCTTGGTTCCGCTCTATCGCTTCTTTAACCCTATTGGCGTTAAAGTTGCGGATATCGTGTCGCATGGACTTCCATATTTGTCTATTGAGCTGCCGATGTGTTTTAGCATCGGCAGAGGTCTGGAGTACCATAGCACGTCGTTCTGCCATGAGTTTGAGGGTGCGATCGGTAAGCTTCTGCGGTCTGTCTTTTCGGCGGGGTCTAAAAAACTTCGACCCGACCGCATGGACAGTTTCTACAAACCTGTTGCTAATCTCGTCCACTGACTCGCAATTCTCCAGGGACTCAAAACGATTCGATAGCTCGATCTGAAAGCTCTCGGGACAACCGATATGTGCATTTGAAGGTCGGAGCGTAGACTTCATCAGACGTGATCTTTCCAGCTTTATATTGATATTCAATGTGCCTCTGACCAGTCGATGATCGCTGCCGGTTTTTACTTTATGGATCACAGAGACATCATTGAACATCTGTCGCTTTGTTGTCATGATGAAGTCGATCTCATTTTTTGTGGAACCGTCCGGGCTCATCCAGGTCCATTTCCTGTGAGACGGCTTCTGGAAA